GCCCAGCAAATGCGAACTCTCTCATGGTATCACTGTCGGCGCTCTTCAAGAGTTGTTCATGGCTTACCGATGTGGAACGTTTTGGTAGAAACAGATGAGCGTGCGCGGCACCCCGGCTGCGACGATATGGGTCGCGTAACTCAAAACGCAGCCAAAGGCGCATGTTCTTGGGTACGATGGTGCGATCGACGTAATTGATAACACAGCCAATATAGATCACTCGTGACACCGATGCCGAAAAGATTTTAGCTTTTCCTAACCATATACAGCTTTCGCTGTAAAATCCGAATTAGCGTGCAGCCCGCAAGGCCCACAAAGCCTCCTTTTAGTGACTCAAGCGTACGTCAGCGACTGCGGGGGACCAACGCTATACGAAATCTCACATGGCGCCCATACTTCACGCTATACACCAGGTAACTTCACGTACGTTGTTTGAAAACTCCCTATATTTACCGTTTGGAGTAGTTTAGAAGGCTTAGCGGAATAGCGAGATATAAATGCCCATGCACATTACGCCAAACGGGGCGTAACGTTTACAGGTAGCATTAGACAGTTATAGTTTACGGTTAACGTGATAGCGGAGGTTAAGGGAACGACATTACCGTGCAGCAAACATTCGTTGTGGACAGCGTCCTATAGTTTAGTGGGATAGCGTTTACGTGGTTTACATGCTCCGGCTAGAACGGTGGCGCCACCTATCGGATGGTTAATAAGATAGTCAGTGAAAAAGAAAAGAAAACAAGATTGTTTGCCTATGCCACCACGCGAAGCATTGTTACAAGGTTACTAATAATAAAGACAAATGAATATGAACCACGCACCAAACGCGAAAAAAATTATGTTGCCTATTTGTTTACATCGATATTGTAGTTAGGCCTTGACGCGTTCGACATGGGAAGCTATCTGAAAAACTACGCAAACCTATACGTAATACTCGGTCATCGAAGCTAACTGAAGGCAAGCGAAGCCACTTTAAGCAGTCGTTTGTTGCGAACAAGGTCAATCTTTCAACAAATACGCCAAAATCACTGCGAAGCGGGCGTCCGAGAGCGCCCCCATGTTTACGTACACAACGTACACTTGCGCTATACCACGGTAACCTTAAATCTGTAAAAAAACAGCGCGTACGGTAAACGGTACGGGTAAGGTACGTATGTGCGCATACGCACTTGGTTTCCGGTATTACGGTATGCATCAGTATCCCAGTATACTATAACTGTCTATTAACCGTGTCTGCGCGGTGAACGTTGTGAACGTAAAATATGACGTCAGTTTTTCACGGCCGCTTCGAACTTAATTTACAGTCGATGTGGACATATATAATATTTTTGTAGCAAATGACTGCGTAAAATGGGTTCCATTGCTTTCAGACGGTTTCGACAAACCAGAATCACGGATAACTTGCATCCCGGTGAAAGATAACACAGCGTGATCAGCGGTGCGTGATATCGAGATATTAGACAGTTATACATTAGCGTTAGCGTGATAGCATAGGTGAAGGGAATGGCCTTACCATGCAGCAAACGTTCGTTCTGGGCAGCATATTATAGTTTGGCGGGGTAGCGTTTACGTGCCCCAGCCGGGACGATGGCGCCACCTATTACATGGTTAATAAGTTAAACAGTGAAAATGAAAAGAAAAAGAAAATGTTTCCCTCTGACACCACGCGAAGCATTGTTAGAAGTTTATTTTATTGATAATAAAAAATAAAAAAATATGAACCACGCACCGAGCGCGAAAACATCTATGTTGCCGATTTGTTTACATCGATCATGTAGTTAGGCCTAGACGCGTTCGAAACGGGTAACTATTTCAAAAACTACGCCAACTTATTCTTAGTACTCGGTCATCGAAGCTAACTGCAGGCAAGCGAAGCCACTTTGAACAGTCGTTTGCTGCGAACGAGGTGAATCCTTCAACAACTACGCCAAAATCACTTCTAACCGGGCGTCCAAGAGCGCCCCCATGTTTATGTACACTACGTACACCTACGCTACCTCGGTAACGTGAAATCTGAAAAACACCGCGCGTACGAGAACTGGTACAGGTGAAGTACGTATCTGCGCATGCGCACTTCTATTCCGGTATCACGGTACACCCGGTAAGCCCGGTACATTTTAATTCTCTATTTAAGTTTTCTTCCGCTTTGCACTAAAGCTGGAAAATCTGCAGCTGCTGAAACTTCGATAGACGAAGGCACCACTCCTGGCTGCACGTGACGTCTCAAGGTGCCATGGCAAAATAGCGATCACGTCGGTGGGCGGCATTTCCCGCCGGTGACTCTTTTGCACTGAAATATTCTTTTAGAGCCAACTTTTCATAGCTATGTAGCCATAATAGACCCCGTACTACAAGTTTTTTTGTTAAAAGCCCAATTATTGTGTGAGCATGTCATGGCCCTTTTAGTTACTGTAAGCGCCTCACGGGAGTTCGGGCCTTGTGTGACTGATATCAGCGCACGTTTTTCTTTTTTTTTTTTGCAAAAGACATAAATTCAGGTTCTAGCTTCTCCGTCATCCTGGTTTAACAGTATACAGCCACACCAAATTTTCCAGAGAGCTAACGGCTTCTCTGTCCAGTACGTTGCAGACAACTTCGCCATCGCCGATATCGAAGGCTTTTGACGTGTAACGTTAGAGCCTCCATTTGAAACTACGTCTTCGCTTTGCTCTGGCGAGGATATATGCCTGACTAATATTACATTCGACTCGAGGCTATAGTGCGGTGTCATAGTTAATGATACGACAATTCGAATTCGCTGCATCTTCTATGATGCTGTGAGCTCTACAACCTGGAGCGTGCAAATCAATCAGCATACAGAAAACATTCCAGCAGATACTGTGCAAGCGACAACCAACCAGTTGAAAGACAATCAGCGATGATGCAAACGTGGGCTAAGGAGTAGAAATGTTCCTGAAATTCGCACTTCCTGTGACCTTACGCGTTGTCCAGCAGATCATTTTTGGCCCGCAGACACGATATATTTCAATGAATCACCTATAGCAAGTTTTCTGCTTCCCGCCTCTTAACAGTGGTCATCGCAAACTGAGCGAGGCACGCACATTTCATCCTCGAAAACCGAAAAGCTGATCAGATTGCGGACGAGCAGACAGCGCACCAGTCATAAACCTGAGCAAGTTAGTGGCAGCTCACCACATTCTTTTTTTAATTTCTGTGCAACACAACCAGTTAGAATTATTCAAACCTCGGCGCGGGTAGCGATAACGTATAGTCTTTCCAGTTCACATGACCTGAAGTGTATTGCTGTTCGTATTGTTCGTGTCGAACCACCTCATGGAACTGCAAACAGGTTTTCTTCGTCGAACTTAGCCGGCTTCAATAATTAATTAGCATGCATTGCTTGAAAACTGCAGGAGTGAACCTGATTGGACAGATTCGTGCGTCGTTAGAGAGATTCTCCTTTCTCGCCTGTTGTCTTCTTGCCGCTACTAATTCCAGTGAAGATATAACAGCGCCACGAATGAAGTTTTCAAAAAAAAAAAAAAACCTTTGAACTGATCGTTTGGTTGCAACTATTCATTGCTTTTTCTCAGCCAACATGTGATGATTAACGAACCTGTAGGTCAAGGTACGCACTATCACAGAGAGCGGCTTAAGCACAACAAGCGCGAAGGGCGAATCTGTACGCTGAAGCCGCACCGTATTTTTGTTACTTCCTAAAAAGACTATTACGACGGTAACAAGCACCACAAAGAACGGCGACACCGCCCCCCTTGTTGATTGCTCACCATCTCGTGTCTTGCGCCTTTTTTTCCCATTTAGCAGAAAAACATTCCCCGCTGTTAAGTGCACTCATTCAATTTCTCCGATTTTTTTTTCTTTTATACCGCGGGGGGTCCCGTCAACAGGTTCCCGTCACCTCCATGAACACACGGGGAGGCCACATCCGCTCACTCACTAATTCGTGACGTCACTATCCCATTATGCTCAATTCTCACTTATTTCTCCTCTGGTTGAATATCGCTTATGGACCGCCTGATAGTAAACTCTGTGTAGTAGAGGCAATAGAGTGTTGAAAGAAAAAAAAGCTCCTCTCAGCTGGCTTCGGATCGAAGTTGCTCGCTCGCGCATGCGTATATAGTAACATTTTTGCCCAACGTCAAGAGCTCTTTCTACAGAAGTTCCAAAATATAGCTAGATAGTAACGGAAGTGCCCACGGTTTTCAGTTTTGTAATTGCGACAGCCAATTCCCTTCTTGCCAAGTTACTAAAGTCCAACAGATCACGACATTGCGGCTCCAAGAGATCGAAATTTCGTTCTTTTATTGCAGAATGACCGTTCTTCATAAGGGATCCTAGTTGGACTTAAACGTGACATCGCGATGTCAAAAGCGAGGACCATACGAGAGCAATATGATCGAGAGTATCGCACTTATTCGTGAAAGTAGAGACCCCTCATGCACGTCCTTTGGATTTCTATAGGCTTCGAACGTCCTGCAGCGCACCCTTGCTTGAGGCACAACAATCTACAGGATATTCAAGACAGTCTATAGCATTAAGCGGGAACAGCGCGACATGGAACAGGGGTACGCAAAGCTGCGCACATCTGTCAGAGCATGCCACCCGCGCTGCACTCGGGAGAAATTTCCACCACACGTTCCTCTGCTGTGTTCTTGCCGCTACAAATAGTAGCACGCACACGTCATGCTGCAAACGCGGCTAAATAGCTCCAGTTATGCAGTATTCTACCGAAGGAACTGAAGATGGGTTGAAATGCAAGGTGACTAATTTGTTTTCATTTGCCAAGGACCTAAATTACACCACCAAGCAGCGCACGTTGCAGATGTCGTGTTCCTTCCTCTTCGAATGGGTCACGCGTATTACCGTTCTTAGGCCCCGGTTATGCGACAATATGCAACATGACAGCTACACACGACACCTCAAAAAGATCTACTCTACCCAACCGCCACCACGGTCATCGTTCAAGCGCACATTCCCCAAGCGAAACGTTATCATCAACGTGGCCGTCTACTACTCACTTTTTTGGACACGCGGCTGCATCTGTCGCGCCGCTGCTCTTCTCCGTAGACGCCATGACCGACATGCGAGGCTTTGTGCTGTGTCCCGCTGCCGTAGGAACACGATTCAGGACTTCACTGGTTGAAGACAAACGCCGGTAGAGCCGTCGTTCAGCGCGCGACACAGAATGGAACAACGCGTTCACGGTTTTCACGGGTTAGCCTCTTCAAAACGAGACGTCGTCATCACGTGATTAGTGACGTGGCGGATCTCAGACGGCGGCGGCGGCAGTGTGCGCGCGTGCCCGCGAAGGCCGCGTGCAACCGTGGCTGCTGGAAGCATTATCGCTTCTTGCAACGTCGAAGAATTCGACGTGCGATCTCCGAAAAAAAAAAGAATAGAAAAGATTGAAGCTGGTAGCCGCGTCGTCGTCCTCAACTTGGCCGACGCATTGAAACGATGCAGCAGCGCGACCAGACAGATCAAGGTAAATGTACGAATTCGTGAAAGAGGACGACGTTTAAGTGCTTCGTTGCTTGTTTCTCGGTCAATGGCAGCTGCCCACAACGGGGCATTAGGAGGGAGTAGGTGCAGAATGCAAATGAAAATTTGACACATCAAAAGTGATAGAGAGGTAGGAGTTATGCATGCAATTAGAGTCTGAATCGTTACCTTATGTCGTCCATGGGTCATTGTTGTTTGGTAGGGTTTCTCTCTTTCACCGTTGCTTGCTTCGACCGTTTCCTCTAGTCTTCGTATACTGTAGTGTAAATGTTGGCGTAATTTCTTGGGTGCCGAGTAATGCAACAATATTATCGCTTCATTAAGAACTGATGATCTCGTCGCCTGATTTATAGAAGTTTCATTAACGAAGAATTTGGCGATTACACATAATTCTCATGGTGGCCTTGACTAGGCAATACAATTGTTTGTATTGGGGCACATTGGTATTGTGGCTTACGAAAACACGCAGAATGCATATCTGACGCACGCGTTGAAATCTATGTGAATGCGTGTATTGGAATGTACCAACAACGGCCTTTACAGTTAGTCTACGCAAAAACCACACTCGTGCAACGCCATCCTTTGGCGTCGCGGGCATCTCGTCTTTTCGTAATAATAATTGTTGGCGAGTAACATAACAAAACCACGCTACGGTTTTGACAGACGCCATTGCTATTTGCGATCAGTTGGAGCAGAACATGCCAAAAATTGAAATGAATATTCTTATTAGAGACAATACAGGAATTACTGCTTGCAAACAAGGAGACAAGGGCAACACTCAGAGAGCAGCCATTAATTAAAAAAATACCCCACAAAATGGCACATTCTGGCTTCACCGTCAGGCACCACATGTGTGTTTTCAGGTTTCCGCAGCTAGAGTTAGAAAATTACAGCAGCCATCAATGTATTCTTCTGCCCACTTGCACATTCACTACCCTACCCTTTATTTTTTCGTAAACATTCCTTTCGTTTAAACAACAGCTTACTACTGCTAGTTGGTGTTGCAAAATTTTCAAAACAGCCTGCCTGCAAGTTATCTTTTTTTTTCGTTTTTCTAATAACAATCGTGCTTACATTCACAAATTGGCAGGCCGGGAGGCAGGCAGAAGTGTTTTTCAGGGTGTGCGGGGGGGGGGGGGGAGGCTTTGATTGATTTGTGGGGTTTAACGTCCCAAAACCACCATATGATTATGAGAGACGCCGTAGTGGAGGGCTCCGGAAACTTTGACCACCTGGGGTTCTTTTAACGTGCACCCAAATCTCAGCACACGGGCCTCGACATTTCCGCCTCCATCGGAAATGCAGCCGCCGAAGCCGGGATTTGAACCCGCGACCTGCGGGTCAGTAGCCGAGTACCTTAGCCATTAGACCACCGCGGCGGGGCGGGGGAGAGGCTTTCTGGGAACTATAGGGGCTGGGAGGCAGCCATGGTTCAGTGCAATTTTGTGCTATGGAAGCCATGGAAGCCATTCACGTAGTTGTGAAGGCTCAGTGTGCATTCGTTATTAATAAATGTTTATTCTTTCTCTTCACGTAGTTGTTGTCGAAGCGGAAATCTTTTTTTTTCCTTTTGTAAAAATAAATAAATAAATAAATAAATAAATAAACCGCTACACTTTTTCAGTGTCGTTAGAAAACGCTTCTATCGGTAGTCGACGCCCCTGGGAACACGCGAACACGACCTGGATTTACAATTGCTTATCAAAAATAAGTATAGAAGTCGCTTTTTGTTCTCTCTACAAATGATTGTACACAAATTACTGCGCCATATACCCAAGATCCCTGTCCGTTGGCCGATTCGGGCATCGTCAGCCGCATATATGTTTACAGCTGCCGCCCGCGGGATGCCAGCAAGCGCCAACTCATGCACTCGCTCAATGTCAGCCATGCGTTCGAAGAAAGAAAGAAAAAAAAACCTGGTTGTTATGACGCGCACTGACGATGGGTTCATCTTCTTGCCCCTTTTTCATCACCCTCTCTGCGCAGCTTTCAGTCCCAAGGTAGAAAGAAAGCGTTTATTCTTAGCAGCATCGATAGAATATGCAAATCTCTGTAATTTCTCCACTTGATGGGTTCTATAAACTTAGGTTGCAATCAATTTGTGAGGAAATACGGTATTTAGATAGGAATTTTCAGTGTTTAACGTCCCAAAACTACGGAAATATTAAGGACGGATGGATGCAAAGCCATTCATAAAACGAGGCAGCCGCATGTATTCTGTGGACAGAAGTGGGGCTTTCAAAATATAGTAATTTTTTGCAGTGTGCTAGGGTTTGCACCTATTCAAGTCACAATTATAAGAGCCACTCCGGTAGCTACGTACTAGCTGCCCCTTTGGCAGCCCCTCCTCTAGCTGGTCACTGGGATGGATGCTTTGGCTATTTCACCTGATCTCCCGCACAATCGCACAGTCAGACGGCATCCCCCGCTCACCAAGGGTCAGATAAGAAGGGGGGGGGGGCACGCATAGTGGTCGAATCTTGACGGTTAAGAAGTGCTTGGCCAATGTTTTCAGACATCCTTGGCTTTCATACTCTGGTAGGTTAACAAGAACCGAATAACAAAGTGACCAACGCCGGCTACGCGTGAGAGGGGTTCGATAAAAAGAGGCAGCTACATTGTAACAGAAGTTCTGGCAGGGACACGTGCCATCCGAAGATTCTATGTGTTTGCGCAGAGGTAGCAGTTTTGATATTGCTACCAATATTCACCTATTTGCGAAGCTGTAATGATTCATGAGAACTCGACAAGATACAGCGCTATAAAAAAACTGCATTTCGTTTTCATATTGCTGAGCGAGCTTTCGACATACACGATTTACCAAGGTCGATGCTTTAATACAGAAACGCTGGCTAAGGTGGAAAAGTGGTTCTGGTGCACGGCTGCTTAAACCAACTTCGTGGGTTCGACTCTGGCCGCTGCAGTCACATTTAGCTGGCAGCAAAATGCTAGAGGTGCGTGTACTGCACGATGCTCATGCTCGTTAAAGAAGTCAAGATAGTGATAAGTTACAAGCCCCTTACTACGGTTTGTTGTATTCATGTTGTGTTTTGGTGCTTAAGACTATACATATTACTATCACTTTCGCAATAAATGTTCTGGTCAGAGGTACAGTCGGGAAGTCGGGATACCGAAACCGAAGATGGTAGGCGAGAATCGTGGTCCGTGGTTAAGCAGCGCGCTCTCGAATGAAGCACAACAGGACATCACCGACAGCCAAGTCTACAACGCTGAGCGAGAACAGCGGGGAATGTAGGAACGCTGAAAAGAGCACACCAAGTTCGCGCACATGCTTCACAGCGCCCACACACGTGCTGCACTTGCCAGAAAATCGTAGCGTGCGTTCTTCACAAGCAGAACGTGCATGTGATGCTGATAACGCTACGAAATCGCACCCGGTGCATCACAGCTTTGTATTATCATACCGAAGATGTGATAAAATTCAGAGCAAGAAAACAGGGACACGGAGATGCACGCACACAACAGGTCGTGTTAATTTCCCGTCGAATTAACGAAGCACACTGTCATTATTCGACCACGGCTTTACGGCAATATGCGACAGGAAGATAATGAGCGACGCCAATACAGATCCACTGTACCCAGCCGCTTCACTGGTCACCGTTCAAACGCGGAATCCGTAAGCGAGACGTTATGACTATCGTGGACATCTACTACTCACTTTTTTTGTCCAGCGGCTACCTCTGTCGTGCCGTTGCCCTTCTCTGTAGTCGCCATGACTTTGGCACGAGATTCTACGCCATACGTCAGGATCCGTTTAAAAGTTCCACTAGTCGAAGACGAACGCCGGGAAACTACCGTCTACCGTGTTATGGCGAATGGAAATCGTGTTCGTGGTACACAAGCTAACCACCTGGACGCGAGACGTCGTCACGTGACCAGTGACGCAGGGGATTTTAGACGGCGAGGCCACCACTGTGCTCGGGCGCGCACAAGGGCGTGTGCAAGCGTGGCTGTTGGAAGCATCATCATTCGTCGCAACGTCGAAGGGTATCACTGTGTTCTTCAAAAAAATAAACAAATAGAAAAGATTAAAGCTGACAGCCATGGCACCATCTCTCACTTTGCGGAACCATTGAGATGATGCTTCAGTGCGTCCAGCAGATCAAGGTCAATTTACGAGCATGTCAAAGAGGACGAAGTTAACTTGCTGGCTTGCTTGTTTCCGCGGTTACTGACGCCTTCCCTATACGGTGCTTTGCGAAAATAGCCGGTGGATATATAATGCGAACGAAAAGTTGAAACATGAAATTCAGAGCAAGATACTAATTCTTCACAGAACTGGGGACTTAAAAGTATCAAGAACAAATTTTTTAGGTGGGCCGTTCTTGGCTGGGGGGGGGGGGGGGGCTCTTTTTTGACGTTGCGTGTTTGGACGGTTACCCCTTGCCTTCATAGTGCAAAACTTAGTGTAGCTCGTCATGCGTAGGAAATTTCAATGATAAGATTTACCGATTGGGAACTGAAGATCTCACCTGCTAGAAGGAATAAGTTTAATTACCAATAGGATCGATTTATTAGCATCCAAAGATCTCTTTGCCAGGTTCAATGAATAAGTGTACTTAAGAACTTGGTGTTTGCAACCTATTCACATTGAGGCCTTAATAACGTAGTACACTTGTTTGCTTTGTGATTATAGAATGGTTTGTAGTGCGAAATATTTGCACAGTAGTACAAATAGTATTTCGGTACTGTGGCATGTGCAAAGCAACACGCAAAGTGCATACCCGACCCACACCTCGAAATCTGTGTAAGGCTATTCAG